CTATCGGTTTTGTTTTTGGTTCTTTTCCAAAAGAACTCCCCCTGGGGCTTCGGCCCGTCCCGCCGGCCACCCGGAAAGGAGCTAAATCCGGAAAAAATCCTTCAAGAGGGCTCAAGATGGCGCCAAGATGGCCACGTTGGCCCAAGATGGCCTCCAAGATGGTCCAAATTGGTCCAATATGGCCTCCAAGTCCGCCCAAGATGGTCCAAGGCGGCCTCCAAGACGGCCCAAGAGAGTCCAAGACGGCCCAAGACGGCCCAAGAGGCCCCACAGAGGCCGCCAAGACGGCCCAAGAGGCCTCCAAGAGGTCCTCCAGGAGGGCCCGAAGAGGTCAAAATCATTGATTTTCTCTAGGTGTTTGAAGGATTTTGGAATTTGCTTCTTCTCGGCATTCCGACGGCTCAAGACGGCCCAAGAGGCCCCCAAGATCGCCCAAGAGGCCCCCAAGAGGGCCCCATGACGGCCCGAGTGGCCTCCAAGACGGCCCCAAGAGGGCCCCGAGACGGCCCAAGAGGCCTCCAACACGCCCAAGATGGCCTCCAAGATGCCCAAAATGGCTTCCAAGACGGCCCCGAAGCGCCCCAAGAGGGCCCCAAGTCGGCCCGGAAAGGCCCCCAAGACGGCTCCCGACGGCGTCAGACGTGCCAGGAACCCACCAAGATGGCCGAAGTTGGCTCAAAGCTGGCCCAAGACGACCCAAGAGGCCCCCAAGAGGGCCTCCAGGAAGGCCAGAAGAGGCCAAAAACATTGATTTTTCTGATTTTGACATTTCCTTCTTTTCGGCCTTCCGACGGCCCGAGACGGTCCCAGAGCCCCCAAAGATCGCCGAAAGATCGCCGAAGAGGCCTCCAAGATGGCCCCAGAACGGCCCAAGAGGGCCCCAAGACGGCCCCAAGAGGCCCCGAAGACGGCAACGCCCAAGATGGCCTCCAAGACGGCCCTGGAGCATTCCAAGAGGGCCCCAAGCCGCCCCATTGAGGCCCCCCAAACGGCTTCCGGTATCGGCCGGATTCACGATCTAGGAATGGACTAGATCGCGATCTAGTCCATTCTGGGTCGTGAATCGGTCCGTTGTTGGATCCTGAATCGGTCCGTTTTAAATAGCGAAACGGTCCATTCTGAATTGTGAATCGGACAAAACTCGTCTTGTCTGCAGGTCGGTCGGACCAAATCGGGATCTGGTCCGGAAGGGCTGATTCACGATCCCAAAACGGACTGATTCAGGATTCCAGAACGGACCGATTCACGATCTAGCATGGACCGATTCACGATTTAGAACGAACCGATCTCGTCGACGTGTTCGGGTGTATTTGAAGGGACGTATGTGGATTTTGGAAGTTTTGGGAGGGGTTGGGTGAGTTTGGGAGGACTTGGGAGGATTCGGATGGATTCAAAGCATTTCAAAACACACTCAGAAGCATTTCAAAAGCGTCTCAGAAGCCTTTCAAAAGCTTCCCAGAAGCCTTTCAAAAGCCTCTCCGAAGCCTTTCAAAAGCGTCCCAGCAGCCTCTCAGGCGCCTTTCAAAAGCCTCTCAGAAGCCTGTCGAAAGCCTATTCAAAAAAGCCTCTCTGAAGCCTTTCAAAAGCCTCTCAGAAGAAGCCTTTCAAAAGCTTTTCAAAAACTGTTCAAAAACCTTTCCAAAGCCCCCTGGGGGCCTCCTAGAGGCCTCCTTGGATATTGACCAGAACGGAGATATGTGAAACATCTGTGAAAGGAGCACCCCCTCATCACTAACACACACTACACCAAACCACAACACGCACAAGCAACGCGCGCGGAGACACCACGAAACACCACGACCACCACAAGAACCCACGATACACCACGGGGCACCACGGGACACCACGATGCACCACAGCACCCCACATGACGCACACACACACACACACACATACACACACACGCCCCACCACCAGAACCCACCACGCCACACACACACACACACACCACACCACACCACACTACACCACGCACACTCCACACGCACAGAGGCACCACGAGACACCACGAGCACCACGAGACACCACGACGCACCACGAGACACCACGGGACACCGCGGGACACCACCACCACACCGGACACACACACACACACCACCCTCGGAATCCCTGGGAAGAGATTCCCAGGGATTCGAAAAGGAATCCCGGGATCACCCTCAGAATCCCTGGGAGTCGATTCCCAGGGATTCCGAAAGTGATCCCAGGATCGCTTTTGAAAATCCCTGGGAATCGATTGATTCAAGATTCCAAAACGGACCGATTCACGATCTAGAACGGACTGGTTCAGGATTCGAAAATGGACCGATTCACGGCTTAAAACAAACTGATTCAAGAGGCCAAAACAAACCGATTCACTATCTAAACTGGACCGATTTACGATCCAGAACGGACCGATCTCAAATTTGAACGCGCGGAAGAACAATTCACAAATTCGCCGGCCCAACGGGCCAGAGGCGTGCTAAGATCTCCGGTAACTGCTCAACAATATTTCTAGTTCGCGCGCGCGGGGCGGGCCCTGGGGGTCCCCAGACGAAAAATACCCCGGCAAGGTCCCGGCAAGGTCCCGGCAAACTCCAGGCAAGGACCCGGCAGACTCCCGGCAGACTCCCGGCAGACTCCCGGCAAGGTCCCTTTTCGGAGCCCAGGAGGGCTCCAAACGGTCCAAGAGAGGCCCGAGAAGCCCTCCAGACGGTCCAAGAGAGCCGGGAGACGCCGAAATATCACTCCCAAACGCCTGCGATGGCCTCAAGACGGCCCAACAGGCCTTCAAGACGCCCCAAGAGGTCCCTAAGCGGCGCCCCAAGAGGGCTCCCACAAGCAAAAATCGTCCCATTCCCTTAGGAAAACGTGCATTTTTAACATATCCGCCTCTTCGTCTTTCACACCTTTCAAGGCGGTCCAAGAGGCCCCCAAGATCACCCCAAGACGGCCCGAGAGACCCTCAAGACCGCTCAAAGACGGCCCAAGAGCGCTCCAAGAAGGCCCAACAAACCCTCAAGAACTCTTTTTCGGAGCCCAGGAGGGCTCCAAATCGGTCCAAGAGGGGCCCGAGAAGCCCTCCAGACGGTCCAAGAGAGCCGGGAGACGCCGAAATATCACCCCCAAACGCCTACGATGGCCTCAAGACGGCCCAACAGGCCTTCAAGACGCCCCAAGAGGTCCCTAAGAGGTCCCTAAGCGGCGTCCCAAGAGGGCTCCCACAAGCAAAAACCGTCTCATTCCCTTGGGAAAACGTGCATTGTTTAACATATCCGCCTCTTCGTCTTTCACACCTTTCAAGGCGGTCCAAGAGGCCCCCAAGATCACCCCAAGACGGCCCGAGAGACCCTCTAGACCGCTCAAAGACGGCCCAAGAGCGCTCCAAGAAGGCCCAAGAAACCCTCAAGAACTCTTTTTCGGAGCCCAGGAGGACTCCAAATCGGTCCAAGAGGGGCCCGAGAAGCCCTCCAGACGGTCCAAGAGAGCCGGGAGACGCCGAAATATCACCCCAAGCGCCTACGATGGCCTCAAGACAGCCCAACAGACCTTCAAGACGCCCCAAGAGGTCCCTAAGCGGCGTCCCAGGAGGGCTCCCACAGGCAAAAACCGTCTCATTCCCTTAGGAAAGCGTGCATGTTTAACATATCCGCCTCTTCGTCTTTCACACCTTTCAAGGAGGTCCAAGAGGCCCCCAAGATCACCCCAAGACGGCCCGAGAAACCCTCAAGACCGCTCAAAGACGGCCCAAGAGCGCTCCAAGAAGGCCTAAGAAACCCTCAAGACGGTCCAAGAGGCCCCAAGACGGCCCCATGATTGAGGTCCACAGGGGCAACCTAAACGGAAATGTTGAGCCTCCCGCCCAAACACGCTCTCG